GTCAACGAGGAAATTGGGTAAATCCCAATCACTGGTCGAATGGAATGATCGACAGGTTTGTTTCGGGGGATACAGACTCGGACAGACGACACGCTTCTAGGATCCGACTCCACCGTGTATATACCACCACCAGATACCTCTCGTTTCGACGATTTCCGGACACTCGAACGTTTCTCCGGCGATCGGATCGCGATTCCAGCTCATCGGCACCGACTACTACTCTTCTCCATCTTCTCTACCGTCGCTCTCTTCGTTCCGCGCTGATTCAACGTTAACCACGACACAGCCTCTTTGGAAACTACGGGCATTTCCCAGCCCAGCCTAGGACTGACATCATCGATAGTCGATTCGCGACGCGTCCGTTTTTGCGTACCTCGGTTTTTCCCGTGGGACCGCGGAACACGATCAACGCGAGCACCTTCTAGAATCGAGCCAGCGGTTCTCTCGCATCGAGTTCTTCGACTCGAACGAAACTCACAGAGACCCAGGTGACGCAACGCGATCCGCCGTGGCCTGTCGACCGCCGCTGCCGCCGCCGTCGATCCGCCATCGGATCCAGCGTCACTGATGTCGCCGAATTCTCTTCGGGTTAGGAACACTTCGCGTCGCTTCGTCTCGGCCCACGACGAGCGGTTAAATTCGGACCTGGATTCTGGGATACCGTCGACATTCGACCATCGCTCTTCACAGATAGTCGTTGTCAACGGCTTGCGCGTCCTGAGATTTCAGGGTGGCCATTTCTTCCACGGTGCCCTCCTCGGCCTCCTGTTCCTCCACGAAACTGATGCTCCCGGCTTTATACCAGACCACGATGTCCACCACGAACGCGAGGATCAAGATACCGCCGGTTGTACCTGGACAAATCGTTATCGATCATTTCCATTGTAGACGTTCGTCTTTACTTTTCTATCTCTTTCCTTGGTTGCCCGTCCTATTATACTTCACCTCTTGCGCTGGAAGGACGTACCACACACGTCGAGATTGCCAATGATGTCTTATATACATCGATAATGTATCACTCTGCAAAATGGTTAACACTAGAACTACCGCGCACTGAAACTGACTTTTTGAAACTTCTCTGTAGAAACTTCAAGAGTGCATCTATTAAGATTTTAATTGATTCATGATTCAATTTGCGTATTGCCAAATCAATCTTTTTAATAACTCCCAGAGAAGCATCTGCAATTTTTTTATTATCGCAAAAGGAAGAAACTGAGGATGGATCATTTTGACCCGTTCGGTAGGTCTAGTGTTAATAAACAAGATTACTGCAACGCATCTGCGTGAAATGGGCAGAAACAAAGTTCTTCGAAGACTTTGCTAGAACTCGGAATTTCCAGCGCAAGAGGTTAATACCATAAAGCTACGACCGATGCATTCGTTCCACCGTTTCATTCTTTGTTAGACAGACCAGTAACCTACCAATGACTGTTAGATAAACAAATAAATAAATTATACGCATTCGTCGAAAAGGTCGCCCGAAAGAATCTCGATTCGAGTATTCGGTCAATGTTTATTCGATTCGGGAATCGAGCGCTCACGTACCATGATAGAACATTCGAAAGATGTTCGAATCGTAGAGCCAACAGGCACCTCGTTGGCCGCACGCATACTCCCACACGAGGCAGGCGGAGTCCACCACAGCACCGTAAACGATTGGACACGGGACGTTACCTGGAAATCAAAGGACGAACCGATGAGACTATACTACGGGGCAAGCTAATTCGGACTAAGCCCCATCAGCACTCGTCTAACGAAGACAAGCTTCGATAGGAGGTGAAGGGACACTAATAGGGATAATTACCGAACAGGCCGATGGCGAATTGTATGAGCCCAAGAGCCATGGCTTTGTCCCGTGGATCGACGCACCGTAATATCAACAGCATGGAGCCCACCTCGCTCGTCGAGTGGATGAAAACGAATACAGAGAAGAGGACCATGTAAACCCAGAAATTGCTGCACTCGAGCTCGCAGTAACCAATCGTCGCCGTGCTGCTAAATGGTTCCGGTATCGTGAAGTTCGTGCCAACGCACTGGCAGTTGTAGAACTACAAACACCAGCGGAAATCCAAGTTATCAAACAAACGCTTACGTACAGCTACGTTGCGAAGTAAAAACCGCTACGACGAGGAGCAATTCTTCGTCCGGTAAGTAGATCAATCGAATACAATTGGAATAATCGAAATGCTTAGAAACAATTGAAATGATTTCAGCAGTGAAGGATAAGTTATAGAAATGGAACGAAGTTGAAAATGATTTGAATCTGTGAATTATACGATAACATATGTCGGGAGTAGATGATTCGTAATGGGTTTGGAAGACGATATGACTCGCAGTTTATCAAAAAAGCGACGTATCCAATGATAGATTATGGATAGCAGGCTTCGACCAAGATTCCCAACGATCCTTTCGATCGAACTCGAATTATACTCACCGAAGCCACCTTGCCGTCGACCACGGTATAGTTGGAACATCCGGCGTGACACGCGGAGAAGTAAGTTTTACCGTCGGCGCCGCAGATCGGACTGAATTTATTTTGGTCGCAGTCGCAGGTGGCCTCGCAGGTCGGTTCGAAGTTGGACAATCTGCGGAAAGCAATGCATACCTACTGGAAAACAGAACCAGGATAACCCGAAGCGATCGAAGACGAATCACTGGCGCGAACGACGGGAAACTTTGTATTCATAAAATGAATTTGTAATTGTGAAAGTACAATGGAGAGAAACACAGAAAGAAAGAAAGAAAAATTGAAAAGTGGAAAACAAAAGCCAACGTGGTCTACTTACCCGTTGGAATAGTTGACGAGGCCGGCGAAATCGTCCATCGGACAGCCGATGAACATTAGCACACCCATGCCGATCGCGTAGACGACCGCCGTGAAGGCGATCCAGGCAGCCACGAACCTGGCGTTAGGCTTTGCCCTCAGAATAAACACTCCGCTTATTATAATGCCCAGGCCCATTACTAAAATACCTCCGACACCTGCAAAACAAAGCGGTCGTGTTTGCATCGTGCTAAATTGTAACTAGATTCTCTCGTGTGCACGATCATTTAGGGTATTTGAATCATTTACGGGTTAAACGGATCAAGTCAACAATAATACGAACATTGTTGTTTTCTTCAATCTGAATTCTATCGAGATCATTTATTTCTTATTCATGGGATTAATCAGTTTGACAAGCGAATGGCGCGAGTGTTACTAAAGTTATAAGTTATAAATCAATGAACAACAACGGAAACAACGAGCGGAGCTAACGACATCAGGGCGGGGCAACGTACAGGCTCGACAATGACGAGAATGATTCTCGCGTGTCTATTCTCGAAAATTACCTGAGATCATGTTCGCATGATGAGCCGGCAAGCGAAATTGGCTCTCGAGGTACTTTGGCAGGAAGGTGTAGAGGCCGGCGATCGGTAGGATGTGCAGCACGCTGCTGGCCGTCCGGAACATAAGAATGTCGTTCTTCAACAGCCTCTTCACCGCTTTAGGGAAGTCTGCAACAGGTAAAGAGAGAAGCCGAGGTGTAGCCAGCCGGTCGCGCAACGTTCCCGGTTTCCAGTCCCGCGATTTACATCGCTAACACAGACCAATCCATTCCCCGCGCTGCATTATTCGTATTGTCAGAAATTTCGACAGCTCCGAGATTCTTCCGGACACACGAATCGAAACCGTATCGACCACGGAGAAGATTGATCCTTATTTATTTCCGCGCGAGCGTCCATGGTTCGTTTCCCTCGGCTCGATTCCTTTGGGAACCTTTGCAGGGAAGCAGGATCAGACAAGCGAATATCGAAGAAGAAACCCGCAAAGGTGCAAAGTGACGAGCGACACGCGATCCACCTGTTTTCGGTACAATTAGTCGAACGGCCGCGAAAAAGGAAGAAAGGGAACCGCGAAACGGTAGAAAAAACGGCGAAAAAAAGAGAAGAGAAGGGACGAGGAGGGAAGAGAAGGGGTGGGAAGGGAGGAGAAGAGAAAAGGAGGAAGCGAGATTGGCTCGCGTTCATGGCGGATGCGTTCCTGCAAGATTTCCTTTCGAGAAACCCTCGCCTCGATGGAAACCGGCATTAACGATGCCTAGGACTGCTCTAGACTTCCTGGAAGGCGAAGCTAGAGTCGTGGCAACCCTGCATAGAGACGTCCTGCAGACCATGAGTAGACAAACGTGACTAACATTGCGCTTCGTGTATTATCGCGACAACCCCGCATCGACCACATACAGGGTGGCGTTCCGCGAAATGTCCGTTAACGACGCTGCTCTATCGAACACGACCCGCCCGAAACTCGACGAAAACGAGTCGAAGGATCATCATCTTCCCCGTGGAAAGTACGCGAGTAAACTCTTTCAACGAACTTCACAGCGATTAATTCGATGACTATCGACGGTTTTCCCTAGATTTTCGCGGAGAGGACGAAGGAATCGATTCGGAAAACTTGTTCCCGGCACCATCGTAGGTCACGCAAACGCGCGGCTGGTAGAGTCCGTCGTGGCGCGACGGAAAGTGAAATTTTCGCGACGAAACGCGGAACACATCCGGATTTCTGGTCCCTCGGAGGGGCGCACGTTCGTGTGCGATGGGCGATGTGTGTGCACGCGGCACTAAGGATCGGCGGTTGTGCGAACGCACGGGGCCTCGTGTGTGCGTTAATAATGATGACTGACCGACTGGTGCACTAGGTGGGGCAAGTTCACGGTCATGCGTCGTGCATAGCGCTCGGTAGGCACGCGCGCGTGCATTTCTCCGCGCATATACGGCCGTGTTCTTTTGCACGCGGATCCGCTCCTCGTGGGGAGAGACTTATCTCAGCTGTCCCGTGCACCTCGACCGACATAACACGCCTCGCGCGACGTAACCGTACAGAAATACACGGCGTCGCGCGTTTGCAATTTCGAATCTCGATTTCGACGGCGACCACCGGAGAAAGCGAACGCTTCCGCGCGCTCCCGTTTCTCGTATGTCGATCTTGCGGCGTCGACGATGACGTCGAGGATTCTCGGGCTAGGCGTTGCGTCTTCTTCGACGGGTTTCTACGGGCACGGGGTCGCAACTCGCGAATCTGGGTCATCGACGATCGCCGGTCGATCGGGATCAAGAATCTGGCTGCTGTTTACTGTCCGGATGCGACTTTCGATCTGAACTTCCAACCGAGCGGATTGAGAACAAACGGGGAAGGGTCGCCCCTTCATTGTTCCGGCGTGGACGAAGGGTTCTCGGAAAGGGGCTCGCTCGCGACGAAACCGACAACGTCCACGCACTCTCCGAGAAAGTGGCGGCGCGACGTGAACTCGTGATGGAACGATTATCGCGATCGACGAGCAACTGCGGCGGTTATGAGGAATCTCAGAGGGCTCGGTTAGCATGTTGAATGCCGCACGATTTCACGTAGCGAAATGCAGAAAATAAAAACAACGTAATATTAAATTATTTCGTTGAATTATTTCATTATATTTGCACATTTATCTTGCCCAATGTCACCGCATTAGATAGCATTATTTATAATATAAAAATATTCGCAAATAATGATCGTTTAATTGACTGAGTCATAATAATTCGATTTGGACGGAAGTCACCGATGACCCTATGGCATTCAACGTGTTAACACGTTCGCGATCACGCGTCGCGTGTATTATTGATCGAAAGTTTGGGACCATTTGATATGTAACGGTGCGAATTAAAAACTGTATATCTGATAAATATATAAAATAAAATAACAGAACTATTGTATATAATTATATATTTATGTTTGTATATATTTATGTTTTACTAATACACGTGTGTTCCACGTTCCTTTATCATACGCAGGAATTCTTCAATCAAAGCTGTTTCCAAAAAATGGGACTTTTTCAGGCAACCCAGCGTGAGATATATGTGACATTGACGATTATTGTTGCTGTGGTGATACTGATACATGAAATTGGTTCTAATCTTCGTCTGTTACTTTGTAAAGGAATGAAGAACCGAAAGACATGCTTGGTCTTGTATTAGCTTTTGTTATGAGTTGTTACAGCAGTTAATCTGGTCTTTAATTTATCAATATGCGATACAGTTTCAGAATTTTTGAAATCATCTAACGAATATTGTAAAGGTCGTGTATGTTCCATTGAAAACCGACGCACTACCACATGGTGTTGTGAAATTTATGAAACGCGTGGATTCTTGTTTTGAAAAGTGACGTAAAACGTGAAAAAACCCTCTCAAAGAGTTTGTCTTCATTTGTTTCCAGTGGATTTCATTGACTTTTCCCAAATCAACGTGTCACATATGTGTGCCGCATGGTATATGCTATTAGCGCTCTATCTACATCCCAGCGTAACACGTACGTGACACTTATTGAAAATGCTTCGTTTATTACGTTTCATATGACTACAAGTTATACGAGTAACATATGCCGTAAAATTATCGCGAAAAAATCACGGTCTACAGTGTATTTCCAATATGATCTCGATCACGAACATATTGACACATTGACCACGATGTTCACCAATGACCGGAACTTCCAGAATGCTCGAAGACAATTACACGAAGGAAACTGATGTCGAACGAAAATATTCAATGACACGACTAACTAAATAACAGCGTAACTCAAGAACCATGGTACCAAAGCAACGATAACTAATACCAATTGCCTTCGTTACGAAAGAACAAGTAATACTACACAAAACGCTATAAATCCCCGTGAACGCGCTAATAGAAGGCTTCGAGCGTTCGACATTGCCTTTATCCGTCTCGTTGAATCTTCCTCGGTCGATTTCACGAGGCTACGAATGAGGGGCGCGCGGATCGTCCGTCTCTCGATTCGGGAAGCCGTAAAATCAAATTAAACCGCCTCCGATCGGACGGTGGAGTTTAAACAACAGCGACCTCCCCGAAGAAAGATTCGCGTCGCCGCCGCGTCGCCCGCCGCACGGCACCGCAATAAATCAGGACTTACCTCTGAGACTAGGCTTTTTCGCGTCCGCCCGTTTCGGCGGAGTTCTGCTCGCGGGCAGCCTCGTCGGGAACGCGAACATTCCAATGCTGACCAGCATCAGCATGGCGGATATTAGCACCAGACCTGAAACACCGGACGCAACCGATTCCCGTCAATCCAGGAAATTTCATGCTCGAACGATCTTCCCGAACTCGTTGCCGCTTGGACATTCGTTCGGAAGATCGAATGGAATGAGTAATACCGTAGCCACGCGCATAACGAGAATCAAATTTACCGAGCCACCATGCTCCGACCCATCTCGGGTCCGTCGGCGTGATTTGCGGATTCGCCGACAAGTCCGCGTAGACCATGGTGCACAGGGAACCTAGGATGAAGCCCAGAGCCGGGCCGAGGATCCTCACTCCGATCGTGATCGCTGCAACAAAGGATTCGCGAGATTAAGACGCCAAGAGAATCGCCGTCTCGCGGATCGCAATCGTGTTTGATCGATCCGGCAATCGGCCAACGTTGTGGCAGTGAACGCGTTCGAATGGACTCGGAGCTGAACTCACCGAAGTAGAGCGGACTCTCCCGGCTGGCCACATTGTCGTCGATGTAAGGAATGCCAAGGGTGTAGACCGCCGTCTGGCCCATGCCGACCCCCAGCAACGACACGAAGAATATCGCCAGGACCACCGTGGTGATTTTACTCTGTATCATCTGCTCCTTCTTGAAGTCGCCCTCGCAGTAGTTGAGCGCGTCGACGATCCGTCCAGCCGGCGTCGTCGACGAGATCGTCAACCTTCGATCGTGAAAAGCAGCGTGTGTTACGTATCATGCGTGCGTGCTAGCGTGTGCGTGTTCGTGTGTATGTGCGTGAGTAGGTAGGTGCGTGCGGTTACGTATCGTAATACGTGTTTACGCTGATAATACGACACTCACTCGTCGAGCGTAACGTTCTCCGGGCGTTCCGGCATCTTGCAAAGGTTCGCGGGTATCGGGTCGGTGCTATTCGACCCTCCGGCCTCGCCTCTCGGCCCGACACCGCTCACCAGCATCTCGTTCTGATGGATCAGCTGTTCGCCGAAGATGAAATGGGGCATCGAGCAGGTGAACGAGCTCACCGCGAACAGGATCATGCCCCAAGCGATCCACTTCGGCCGGTGACCTTGGCCTCCGTAGTACGTCAGCAGGAGAGAGGAACCGATCTGCCCGATCTCCGTCGCCGACATTATGATGCCGGTGGTCTTCGACTGGATCTGAAAGAGCTTCTCGATCGTCGTGATCACCGAGACGAAGTACGTGTAGTACATCCCCTGGAGTACCTGCGAATGCGACAACTTTCGTTTTCAAAGGGGCACCCCGCCTAGCGAAACAAACTTCTCAAGTAGAACCTTACGGTCCACGGAATCTTGAAATCTGAAAATCCTCGGATACTAACCCAAGTGACGCAAAAGGTCACCAAGAAGGCCTGCTTCGTTGCGAAATACTGGAGCCAGTGCGGCCTGCACGGGCCCCAGCCGCACGACACGTCCGCATCGTCAAACTCTGTGTGAAGGCTGCTCGATTTCTCGTCGGATGCTATCAGCTTCCCGTTCTCCGTCCCGCCGATCTCGTGCAGCTTTCCGTTCGGTATCGAGCCGTTGTTGTTGTGCTGCTTCCCGCAGATTAGACCGTTCCCGTTCGTCATCTTCGCCGGTATTATC